AGAATTTGCAATTGTTAATCAGAGAAAACCAGGATCCCTGCTTATCAGTCATTTACAGATAGAGAGATTGCTGCCTCTTGTCATCTAAGATGTGCAATCACTACCAGGAGTCCCTTCATGAAATTTTCTGGGATTGCTGAGAGGTTGAATAGCAGGATATTGTACATCACAGGTATTTCTTGTGAAAAGGTCTGATTATTGTATGAAAATATGCATCTCAAGGGACAAGAGCTGTGAACTAATCCCCCTCCTGCAGAAATGAGGTAATGGTGGTTAATGGGTCCATCTAGAAATTGATTTGAAAAAAGCAAGTGTTGAACTTTCTTAGGTCCAAGATGGGATCATTCCAAATTCTTCTTTGGGATAAGAAAATAACCATCATAGAACACATCTTTGCTACTGAAGTATGAAGGACTTTACCGTGACTAGGGATATCTGTGTGTCAGTTCACCTATGAGCAGTCTTACTGACTTCCTCTAGTGACATATGAAGGAGCTGAAAACCCCATAAGTTATCTATGTGGTGAGTTGATGGAGGGGCGAGAACCTCTTCTGATAAGGCAGAGAAGAATGCATTAATCTATGGGAAAACATCCATTTCAAACCCTGATAAGATACCAGTGCTGAGGTGTAGAACAGAGGGTGTCCCAGACTGTGACTCACCCCACCTGAGGAAGCTAGGATCAGGGATCTCAACAACAGAGTGAAACTCAGAGGAAGACCCCTGACTGGAATCTCTAGAAGCTTCAATTTTATCATTATGAGGCCTTGAAATCCTTGAACTCGCTGAGTGGGTTGAAAGTGAAGCAAGCCTCCTCTTGCAGTTACAGATTTGGAACCTCCATCAGGAACCAGTCTTATTGTCTTGGCCCATTGAAGGACAGTGTTACAACAAATCAGCGCTAAGCGCACATGGAATAGAGCCACATCTTGAACCCCAAGATGGGATTTAGCCTTGAGATAAAGCAACATCCTGGTCCCAGGCTCCTTTCTAGCCCCCAATATAAAAGGACCTGCATATACTTCCTAAGAACACAGGACTCTCCAAAGGAATATGGGGACTTAAAATGTCCATCAAAAGTGGTTTGGCAGTGTTGCAAGACAAGCAAATTTTGAATCATGGTGTTTCCTCTCTCTCTCTCTCTTTTTTTTACCAAAGGGAAGGAGGATGTTGACAAAAAATAAAGGTAAAGGCAAATTAGGAGTTCAAATATTTCAAAAAGGTTTCAACCAGAGTTTAGGCCTCAAATGACAGAGTGCTTCCTTTACAGTCAACTGCAATTAATAGGAACTAAAGAATGGGGACCACACACTGTCCTTTATCTCCTTGGCACTGAGCATGAAGAAAGGTAAGCTATGCAGGAGGAGGGGCATACTGTATGGGTACTTCTAAGGCGAAAAATCTCTGAGCTCAAGTACCATGATGCAAGCATATCCACGTTTACGATATGCTTGGGTCAATCACTTAAGGAGCAAATTCCTTTAAAAGAAACTTTTGTGCTTGGGTTTTGGTTTCTGTTACGGCTTTCCAGAGATTTATGGTATTACAAATCAACAAGACTTCATTTTACAGCTCTATGTATCAGAATTTTCTTTACCACATTTAATATCTGTCAAAAGCAAACTGTACTTAGATGACTGCACTAAATAACATAAAATTGCAAAGGACAGAAATATTTTTCAACATTCAGAAGCTGTGAACTGTATATTAACACTGAAACCATTATAATAATCATTTACAAGCCCAAAGCTAGTGATAACCTTATTACAAAAAAGGTGATGCTAGCTTATAGGAACTTAGGACTGGAAAGGGCTTCTCTGACCAACAAGTTAGGCAAATATTTTCCCCGAATGATCTGTCCACAAGATCCTTTGCTGCTCATACATAACACCTACAAAGCAGTGTAAAAAAAACTTACAGTGTACCACAACTAAGGGGAAAGGAAGATTAGGGCAGAGACATAATATTTTTCCTGGGGATAAGCCAACAATACAAGTATGTGTGGGTGTGCGCACACACACAGTATTTACTCAAATATAAGGTCCCCCACCACCCAGTCAGGATGGGAGGAAAACACTGGGAAAGTGTGTTCAAATGTATTTGGTTGTGGCCAGTTCATAGCCACTTGACTTTAGCCTCCATTCTGCTGAGCTTAATAGGTAAACCAATTTTTTAAAATCTCCTTTCAAACAACAGGTTTTCCATTCCCCTAACCATCCTATCAGCCCTTTTTTGTACCTGTCCCAACATAAATTATTTTTCTAGCACAAGTGAATAAAACTGTTCACGGTATTCTATTAATTTATTTGATTCACGCGTCATCCTTGCCAAAAAGACTCAGGACAGCTTATAGTAAAAGCAAAATAACTTATAAAAGCAGATAAAATATTTAATAACATATATGCTATATAACAGAAACTCCAAAAATAATCCCTCAAATTAACACTGCTTGCTAAACATTCACCTAAATAAAAAGGGGTCTTACCAATGTCTTGTACAGTTGTGCTAATATTTCCCTGTCCCTACTGAAAATAACCTGCCTAATATATCTTAGAATGGAATTACCCATTTTCACAGCTGCATCACACTGGAAACTCACTGTTTTTCTAAAATGGACCAGTAC